CCTAAATTTGTTCACTAATTTCTTTAATGCTTTTGCTTACAGAAAAATGTGGCCAGATTTGATGGACACGTTGGGCCAGTAACTGCAATATCTTTTTCTGAAAATGGTTACTTCCTAGCGGTATGTGTTAATTGGATGCAGTTAAAGGTTTAACTTAGACATGATTGAAACTAATATAAATCTAAACTGCACAGACTGCAGCTCATGATGGAGTAAAGCTGTGGGATCTTCGAAAATTGAAGAACTTTCGTACATTTTCACCTTATGATTCAGAAACTCCAACAAACTCTGGTACGTTTTGTTCTGTAGATGCTGGTTGATGTAACATTTTACAACTTTCTATAGTATATGTTCTGTCAGTTCTACAAATAGGAAGATAGTGTTGTACGTTTAGTCATGTCTTGTTTGTGGGAATAACTGACATCTGTTTCTGGTTCTGTAGTGGAATTTGATCATAGTGGATCTTACCTTGCGATTGCTGGCTCAGATTTAAGGTAAGCGTTTGGCCCTTGAAATCATTTCTAACCTTCCGTCTAATAGAAATCAGTACTCAATTTATTCATCACTTATTTTCAGTTCTTAGTAGTTTCTACAAAGTCTAACGAGGGTTGCTTGAACTCGCAGGGTTTACCAAGTTGCTAGTGTGAAATCTGAATGGAATTGTATCAAAACTATTCCAGATTTGTCTGGCACAGGTACCGTATCCTTCTCTCACATGTGCGCACATGTATATATTTTATAAAGATATCACATTCATAAAATGGGTTAGATTCTTTACTAACTACACAGAGAAAGCATTTACGATTCATGCGGATTATTGTGAGTAGTCCAAAATTGCTGTTGATGAGAATTCCGGTTCTACTCGATTTCAGGTAAAGCAACTTGTCTCAAATTTGGTCCAGATGCAAAATACTTGGCAGTTGGGTCCATGGATCGTAATCTTCGAATTTTCGGTGTGCCTGGGGAAGATGGCTCGATGGAAGCATAAGTTACATCCGGATTTGAAAATTCTGAAAAAGATGAACGCTAGCTTCCCATTATATTTGCACGATTACAGGTATGATTCATGGTATTAAAAAACCGGAGTCTGAAGCAGAGGTATCTTTAAAAGGTTCTCCAGCAAAGTTGAGAGTTATACATCCACAGATCAACCAGTTGAGCTAATTATTCTCACCAAATTTTTTGTGTTGTTTGGACTAATCAGGTTTGATTCTGATTTCTATGCAATTAGAGTAAAAAGATTATGTAGCCTGTCTCAACTGCATGTAGCTGTAGAACTGTTAATATACGATGACATTTTTCATTCACCGTTTAGTTGTATTTTGATAGTGGAAAAACTTTAATAGATTCATCTTTCTTATTCACCTTATTATTCTTAATTGATTATGATCATACGATGTTATAAATATGTCCTTAGAATAATGAATCCCTTACAATCCTACACTGAAATTGTATGTAGGAACTGCCACAGAGTAAGACATTAATTTTCCAGAACCAATGTGCTTCTTACAAAGTAAAAAACTACAGACATTTGAAATTGAAAAATGGGAAAAAAAATATTGGAGAAGGAAAGATACTGTTTATAGCCAATAACTCAAACATTACACACAAACTGCAAACCATTCCATCCCATCCCATCCCATCCTTGTCATGAAAGATATTGCGAAGCATGAGCAAAACCCCATAGCTGCATTAACCCAAATTACACAAACATAAGCAAAAGATGGAATGCAGGCATAGACACATTATCACCAAAAAACAACTTACGAAACGGGTTTACATCGTAAATGCAAGGTTATTCTTTCCAGGATTGGAATTTACCTCAACATTCTTCAACTCAAACTCCTGGCTGTGCGCTAAGCACGAGTTACCAAACGTCTCACATGGTCCACTGGTTCCATTCAACCTTTTTTTTTTAAAAAAAAAAAACAGAAGATTTGGCCATTGATGTAAGTAGTACATTGCAGTTGACAAAGGAGTAGTAGATTAGGAAAGAAATACTAACAGATCTTCTTCGAGACGTAATGCGAAGTTACTGCCACCACCAAGTGCTAGTAAGTCATCCATACACATGTAGAAATAGCGGTTCGCTCCTATTCATATTTCCAAATCAGGCAAGAAAAAATTGAGAGGAAAGGAGTTCCTTCATTCCTTCACTCTTTTCTATAAATGCAAGAGATTGCTTCGTTTCCCAGATCAGTTACATGGGAGTTAATCTTGTTGGTGTTCCATCCAAATATACAACTTCTTTGGGCATATATAATACAAGTCACAGGTAACCTTCGCATCAGTTTCATTAGAAGGATATGCCTACGCTATCACTATTCTTTCGTTCTTGCAAAATTAGTAGTGATTAATACGAAACTTCGACTTCCGAAAATGATCAAATTCACTAGAAACTATATGGGCTTAACACACTGACAGTCAAGCATATTGGTGGCGAAGGATACACAACCAAAGAGTATAAAAATAAAAGAGATTGCAACTAAGAAGGAAAAGAACAACTTGCCAGTTGGTCTGAAGAGCTGTGGTTCACCATACATGGTGGTAAAGACAAAAGTTTGATTTGTTCCCTAACACAATACAGTCATGTTTTAAACATCAAAACAAAAGAAAATGAGGCACAGAGTGGAAATTAGCATCCTCAGAGGGCGAGAATTCAACTAACTTGATATTTTCTCTTAGCAGTAGGCTTCAATGGAGATTCTAGAAGACCACCAAACACGGCACCTTGTTGATCGCCAACAACCTACAGAGCGAGCACAGGGAACACAACTCCATTATAGAACAAACATGAAGTTCTACATTGGTCTAGCTTTTCAATAAGATTAAAATCTGGGACATGGAGGAGTCATATAATCAACATACCAGCAAACAAGGACCAGAAAGTTCACTACTCTTGCGGATGAGAGTTCGGAGAGATATGCCATGTCTCAATGTACTGCCCTTCATTAGAAAGAAACTCAAGTTAAGGTCATAATGCATCCCTACCATCTCCTATAGAGCAACATTTCCAATAAGTTACCTATATAGCAAGATCCATTGGCGCCCTTTCACAATGTTAGGAAGACATTGTACTAGGAAATCATAGGTGTCAATGGACATTAGAACAGAATCAACCGAAGAATTTTGCACAGACTTCTCTGGACTAGGTCGGGGAGCTACGTCTTCAAATACTTCAGAACTATTAGTACTCCTTCCGGAGAAAGAGTCGTCAAAATCTTCCTCATCATCTCGACTGCATTCCTTATTTTCTACCTCAAAAATTGAGGTTCCCCTAGTTCCATAAGCTGTGCTATACTCGTTGTCCAAAGGTTCTAGAGGATCAAAATTGACAGGATCATATGGCACAGGGCGAGGCTGTTGTGGCCTGTAATGGTTCTGGGGTTGGCCTGATTTGGGTCCTTCAAAGCCTGCGAATGGGATAATATAGGAAAAGTAGGAAGACAAAGCCTTTCCTCCTTTAGAGAATGACCTGACCTACACATCGCAACAAACAGCTTTGTAAAACCAACTTAGAATACAAAGAAAGGAGAATGGAATCCAACCCCACATTGCCATACAACTAAGTTAAATCGAATGCCAAAAGTTTCCCATAGACCCCAAAATTCCAACCCTTGACATGTCAATCTCAATCAGTACCAACGCAAGAACAAAACAGAAGTATCAAAACAAAATTGGGCAAAACACATTGGCATCCAAATCTGGAAAAGCCCCATCAACATTAAGATATACAAACAGATCGGCAATGGCGGCAAGTTCATGAAGCTAAAAGTACATCAGCGAAGTAGATTAAAACAGAGGAAATGAGAATATTACGGGAGAAGGATCGTCGTCAAGTGAAGTTAAGGAATGAGAAGCGGAATCTGGGGAATCGGCTAAAAGACGGGAAAGGCTCTCCGTAACTTTCTCTTTGAAGGCGAACATGGGTGAGAGTGATGAAAGAAGAGAGAAAGAAAGAGAGAGATTAGTGTTCCGTCGAGGGATCTGCTACCTTTAGCTTCAATTTTCGAATCCACTTTGGGAACTGAGATCGGAAGAGAAGAAGCAGAGCTGTCGGCGGAGAGAAATTGGAAAGAACGGCGGTAGAGTGAGAAATCAGAAGGTAAATATAAAAAAAAAAATTAAATAAAAGAAGAAAAAGAAACTGAGTGTGAACAGAAAAGCGATTTTTTCCTTTTTTTTTTTAAACAGAAAAAGAAAAAGGAAAAAAAAAAAAAAACTAAGTTAGCTAAAATTTAGAAGCAGTCTAATTCAACCATAATTATGTATTTTTTTTAAAGGTAAAGTCTCCTGAGAGATTTATTGTAGGGGCTATTTTTTTCTTTTACAATAAGAGAGCGGGACGATTATCCTTACCTAAGGACTCCTTCAATATCAATGTACTCCGATGAACCCTCTATTTGAGAGATCCCTCATATTTAGGATTCCCGTAAAGATTTTAACACATAGAGGACTCCTTTCCTTGCGAGTTGTAAGACACCTAAGGTGGCCGATCTTTCTTTTTCGGGCTTGTGTAGATTTAACCATGGAAGTCCAGAAATGCTAGCGAGGTAGGATTTTGGTTACAAGAAACAAACGTTCCAAGAGACTATTCGAAACCAAGAAAACCATCAAACAAATCAATCTAGGTATCTAGTGTTTCTCTGCAAACCTCACAACTTGTTGATGTTGAATTCTTTGGTGGGTTGGCTTAAAAGAAGCCACCATGTCCCCCTTGTGAAAGGATTCATGCTGCCTCGAGAATTGACAAACAGTAAAAATCACAAAAATTGATATGTATTTTTTTAAGTCAAGCAGTAAAAATTATACCGAACCTTCTCTTAGTTAGTCACCGTAACTAATTTCTTCCTTCAATAAAGCTTTTAATGATTTCAGGAGTGAAAGTATGATGTTTCTTCGAAGTTCAAATTCTTTTGCATAAAAAAGTTACAAAATTTGAGAGATACACCTATTTCTCGTTAGACCCATGCCTAATTTATTAGGCTTTTATTAGGCTTCTTTCTAAGAGTTCTAATATTTAAGACTCTCTTTTCTTGAGATTCAAAACTTATTGTTACACACTTCATCAAAGCAGATTCCTTCTATGTTCAAATAGCCTCTTTCTGGCCCATCTCCTCTAAGCATTCAATGTTATAAAGTTAGTTAGTTTCAATAATTTGTTATTATTTGTTCATACATAGCAACAAAATTTGAAGTGGAATTTTAGTAAAAAGAAAAAAGAAATCACTATTTGAATAAAATATCAGTATTTTTCAGTGCCAAATGTGAATTGTGCTCTTTTTTGGAGTGAAGAAAAAGATGCGTTCTCTGCACATCTAGAGAGGCAAATTCAGCCAAAACAGGAAGAGGGAAAAACAAGAGACCTTCCGCCATTTTTGAGGTATAATCCAAGCTTGAAGACGATTTCCCAGCCCCGATTCTCTCTTTAGAACAATACCCATTTGGCCATTTCCTCCATTTCCCTCGAATTCCAAAGGGTTTTTACAGTTCCATGATTTGATTCTTCAATGGCGATGAAAATGGGGTTTTCTTCCTTCAGCCCTTTTTCTGTTCTTGTTCTTCTTCTCTCTATGGTGTTCTTCTTCATTTTTACACTAATCCCACCTGCACAATCTGCCTCTGATTACACTTCTTTGGTCTACAAGGGTTGTGCTAAGCAAGCTCTCTCAGATCCAAATGGGGTTTACACCCAAGCGCTTGCAGCCCTTTTTGGCTCCTTGGTTTCACAATCCACCAAAGCCAGATTCTACAAAACCAGCTCTGGAAGTGGCCAAGCCACCATCAATGGCCTCTTCCAATGCAGAGGCGACCTCACCAATGGCGACTGCTACAATTGTGTGAGCAAAATCCCACAAATCGTTGAGTCTCTCTGTGGCAAAACCATAGCCGCCAGAGTTCAACTCTATGGCTGTTATTTGCTTTATGAGGTTTCTGGGTTTTCCCAAATTTCAGGGCTCGAAATGCTGTTCAAAACTTGTGGGTCTACCAATGTTGCTGGAAGTGGGTTTGAAGAGCGGCGGGACACCGCCCTCTCTGTTTTGGAGAATGGTGTGGTGAGTGGCCATGGATTCTACACTACAAATTACCAATCTGTTTATGTTTTGGGTCAATGTGAAGGCGATTTGGGGGATTCAGACTGTGGTGAATGTGTTAAAAATGCTGTCCAAAGAGCTCAAGTTGAATGTGGGAGCTCAATTTCAGGCCAGCTTTATCTCCATAGATGCTTTATAAGTTACAGTTACTACCCAAATGGTGTACCCACAAGATCATCACCATTATCTTCATCTTCTTCTTCCTCCTCATCAGGTAAAGCACCAAAGCCTTGTAGATTCCATTTTTTACAGTAAGAACACACAAATAAAAGCTGAAATTCTGAGTTTATCTAATATTTGAAAGTGAAACAACAGGAAATATAGGGAGAACAGTGGCTATCATTCTTGGATCAACAGCAGGAGTGGCATTTGTGATCATTTGCTTGCTTTTTGCAAGAGGATTAATGAAGAAACATGATGGTAAGTAGAGAACAAACACTTTTCAGATTGTTCTTTTAAAATTTCCTGTTTGAATTGGTCTGAGTTTTGAGATTTGGGATGATCTTTTTGTGTGCAGATTATTGAAAGAAGCAGAGGAGGATTGGATCTTCAAAGATGCAAAAACTATTCTTTTTTCTTATGAACAGAATGTCTTTTTCTGAAAAGGAGATGTCATTTTTTTTATGGTCAATAGGGTTTTTATTTATATTGAGAAGGGAATGAAGGAAGGAATGAATGAATGATGTATCAAATTGAAATAATTTTTACACAAGTGAAGAACAAGAATGTTGGTAATCCATTCATAACTTATCTGTTTTCTCACTACTTTTTTATGCTTTTTGCAAAGTTGCACCATCTCGGTCTCCCCGACGTATGGATTCGAACACTTTTTTAGTTGGATTTGACGACGACACTAATAAATTGAACAATCCAATCGTTTCCATTTCTCGACTGTGCTCGAGGAGTAAGACACGAAGTATCATTCCAAAAATCGATGGAGCATAGTTATTTTTTGATAGTGCAAATAGAATTGAAATGTTTTAGTTTGTATCTTCGTATCTGATAACAGGACACTTCTCGGGATATCATCTTCACTCATCATTGGAGAGGAGAGTTTTGACAGCGAGGGAGGCAGGGCTATAGAGGACTCATTCCGTAAATGGCTTCTCTGTAAAATTGAGAAAGACGCTAACAAGCAAGAAAAAGGCCCTTCCTATATCGAGAGATAGGCTAAGACTTCGGTTTTGAATAATTAAAATTAAAGTGGTAAGTGTTGAAATGAAGTGGAAGGACATATCATGTGGCGTTTGGGGGATGACAGATTGGCAATACAATGGGTATCCCTTTCTTTAGGCCTTTTCTCCAACTTAGACTTCCCATCATTCCTTCATCAATGCTCCAACCTATTATTGCATGACAGCAATGCACTACCCATTAAAAAATATATATCATATTCAATTCTTCTCCTTTTCCTCACCCGTGACGATTTCAAAGGCTTGATAAAGCTTTGGCATGACGTGCGCGTGAAAAAGTTAGCAAGGGTCGAACTAAACTATATCGTCACACTTATACTTAAGACGACTTATCGAGCTAATACGAGAGTATAGTTTACTGATTACAAGACGTGTGTCTTTTCTTACAAATAGAATGCTGAAGCTTGAATCCTCCTCTATACAGTGTCGAGAAGCATTGTTTCATGAAAATTTAATTCTATTTGATTCATCGGATTAGAGTCTAAGTTATTAAGAGGAAGTGCCCCTAAATTGCTTGGGTAACATAAATTTTATTATTCAACTCTCGGGATATTTTCTTATAATTTAGCCAATTGAAAGTCTTTTTTTAATAACTAAGAATATTCAAACAAATAAAATAATGCGTATGTAAATGGTATATAAATATGTATGTGTGTTCAATATTACAAATTTCTTATTTTCTCTAGTTTTAAAAAATAATGTGAAATAAATATAAATTACAAAATTTAATATTTTTGAACTTAATATTTATTAAGCTAAACATTATTTTATTTACAATAAAAGAATGGTAATAAAAATTGATTAAACATTATCTCTCACCATTGGCCACCAAGCTGCCACGTCTGCATGAACTACTCCGTGGCACTCCACATCAATTTACTTGAGTCGGTGAAAAAAGTTTCATTTTTCAACTCTCCACCGCTGCTACCCATCTCCTCCCTATCCAATTCCATTACCATGCCCGCCGCCGCTACCGGAGTATCCTTCTTCACTACTCCCATACGGGGTTCACGGTCCAAGCACTGGCTCTCCGATTCTCCCCTTGCAACCCCATCTACCCAAGTGTTGCCCATATTGTCCCGCCCTCTGGCCGTTAAATCGGCTCCGCTTAGAGCTTTCTCAGAGAGGTGGCGGCCGGCTACGGTCATCTCGGCCGCCTCTGTGCAAGGAGAGGCGGCTTTGACGGTGGGGTTTGAAGAGGGTGTGGAGGAGGAGACGGCAGAGAAGGGAGGAGGGGAGGCGGTGGATGGTGGTTCTCCAGTGGAGTCTGGGAGTACTAAGCTGTATTTTGGGAATTTGCCTTATAGTGTTGATAGTCCCCAGCTTGCCGCTATCGTTCAGGATTATGGGGTCGCCGAGCTTATTGAGGTACATTGCCTGCAAAGTTCACTGATTAGTTTCTACATGGAATTCTCATACATGATTTCACTTCCATTAATGGCATGACATGAAAGCTTGGCTTTGGAATTCAAGCTCATGACTATAAATCTAAACCACAAATCTAGATATTTTTGAAGTAATTACCTCAAATCATATGGTAGAATGAAAATTGAGATGCCTATAATTAGTTCAAACATTCACAGAACATCCACTAGCCTGTTTAGGGGCATGTAGGTTCGGTTTTTGGTGGCATCAACACGTTGATCCAATGAGCTATTCTTTGTTCTACCAAACTGAAAAAACACCATGAGACATTCAACAAGTGGGTTTATGGGAAGTGTCCATTATAGAAGAGCATGATCATGTTACTACGGTGCTACCGTGCCAAGATGATATCCAATATATTATACATTTGAAGAACGTGCTCTCTGTTTGTACAAATTTGTGGGGATGTTTTCATAAATAGCTGCTGACCTTCCTTTACCTTCATTAATTAACCGCCACCAGAGTTAATCTAGTGATCACTAAGAACAAGTGAGAAGGCAAAAGACTTTGAAGGAACGGATTCAAATCATGGTGGTCATCCATCTAAGATTAGTCTCCTACAAGCTTTTTGAACAGGCAAATGCAGTAATATTGTTCCATGAGATTAGTTGTATCATGCCTAAGTTGGTTTTGACATTAGTAGATATTAAAACGAAAACCCACGAACCTTAATTAAAAGTCATAACACGGGGTATCTACTTTCATCCTCGCAACGAAGGCTTGATTTTGAAGGAACCCTGTAGCTCCCTATCCCTCAGAAATTTATTGTTTTCACCATGGCTCGATCCACCTCTTAATACAAAAAATGAAGAAAAAAGACATCCTTGTAAAAGGAAGATCTGCAGTTCTTTTATATATTAATGACACTATATTGAACTCATAGAGACTCCTGTGGCGCTTTAAGAAAATATCCATTGTAGCAATTTCATGTGTCTAATCCTTAAGACAGACTTCTCTACTGTTTTCATTCAATCTTTACTTTGAATTACTTCTCCAAGAGCATATTTCGATATTAAATCTCATGTTTTGTAAGAGTCTCTAATCAATTCAAGTGGTATAAGGTTCTTTATGACAGGGATACTGGAAAAAGTAGAGGATTCGCATTTGTAACCATGAACAGTATTGAAGATTGCAATAAAGTCATTGAAAATCTGAATGGAGCTGTGAGAATCTCTCCCTCACACACTTTCGTTCTCTCCTTTATGTGGCTATATCTATCCTTAGATAGTTTCAAGTTCAGGAACTATTGGATTCTGATGCTAACTATGAGTATCACTTGTATAATCAGACTTATATGGGCAGAATTTTGAGGGTTAATTTCTCAGACAAACCTAAGCCCAAGGAACATTTGTTTCCAGAAACTGAGTATAAACTCTTTGTTCGAAACTTAGCTTGGTCGGTAACATCAGAAAGTTTGACACAAGCATTTCAAGAATATGGAAATGTGGTAGGTGCAAGGGTCATCTATAATGGGGAGACCGGAAGGTCACGTGGTTATGGCTTTGTTTCTTACTCAACAAAATCAGAGATGGAAACAGCTCTTGTCGCTCTTAATGATGCGGTAAGAGTCTGCCTTGGTTCTCCTGTATCTTTTCGTTCACATTGTTGTTATATCATACAATATCATATAGTTCAATTGTCTGTTTTTTGGACTTCATAGGTATTTGAAGGCAGGGTATTAAGTGTAAGCTTGGCTGAAGGATCACAAGCACAAGGGCAAATGTTGAACTGATTTATTGCATGTCAGCATACAATGACTGGACAAACCTGGAGTGACGGAATCTTGTCTCTTCTTTCTTTTTGTATGTACCCCATCTCTTCATTCTTGTGGTAGATAGATATCATATCGGTCCTGATTCAAACAAATGGTCACAACACTGAAATTCATAAATGGTTGTATCATGACTGGAAAGGAAAGAGGAAAGAATTTCTACCTTTCTCTTGCAGCTCGAGTGACCGAAATTTCTTTCTCGTTTGTTCATTTTGTTCATATAGTCATAACTCAGTCCTATACCTTACAAGAGATTAGTCATATGATTGAATTGCAACAACTTGGTCGATTGATCCATTCGATGAATGTTGACCATGTAGGAAGATTTCACAATATTTTCATGATCAATATGATCGCAATGTATATTGTGGAGATTACTTCAAGCATTACTAGATATTCATGTGCTACATAATCAAAGATGATAGTAAATAACACTGTCACCTTTGTGTTTTAGGAACAAATTTTTGTGCTGTCATCCTATTGGGGGCGTCGGATGATACTTACATCAAGGAAAATGTTTAGTGTAGTTTCTCATTCGAGGTATTTGAATGGTGTAGACGAGGGTACTACTGAGACAATTTCTTATTTCTTAGCACGAAACATTCAGCTGTAATGAACGTAATCAAGAGGATATTTGATGGAGTCTTGAGACGAGTTTGTTGTTTATACAAATAGCAATCTGATTAAACAGCAAGAGCTGCTACCCTATATTTGAAACCGATCACAAAGCAAAAAAACTAGCCCACACACTCCAAATAGAAAAACAAATCTTTGCGGACTTTCTACAAACACTTGTGTGCACCCCACCAAACAAACCCAATCTATAAGGGACTTCTCACCTCAAAAGGGAGAAAATGAAAAGTCTGGTTTGCAGGGCAGGAGGAGGCCCTGATGAGCGTAAGAATTAGTAACATAAGCACTAGATTGCGCTGCCCCATGTCTTCCAAGGCTCGAGAATCGGTATAAGGCACAAAAGCGCGGTGCAAATTGTGTCGGCAGACAAGGTTAGCAACGTGCCGTTCTCTTTATGGGCAAAATTATTATCCATTTATGTGCTTTTGAGGCTGAGCGACGCTGCTTAAACCCACCGAAATGGCGGCTGCTGCAATTTAGAGTGTGTTGGCTCATGTTAATTTTTTTTTATAATATTTGACATTTTTAAAAAAAAATTATCCATTTATTAGATATATAATTAAAAATAATATAATTTTCAACAATTTCAAATAAATATAATTTCGGTAGTTTGTTTTGTATATGTAGTTTCATTAAAATGTTGTTTTATTAAAATGACGTCATATGTTGACTTTGGAAAGAGAGAAAAGGTCAAAGAAATAGACATTTTGGCAAAATAAATAATAATAAT